TGGACCGTCCCATCTAAACCAACACCCAGGGGCCACCGAAGCACCACGCTGCCCAGCGGCCTCTTCAGCGGGAACCTCTCCGGGCTGCGCCGCCCCTGTTATCCCACATGTTACAGCTTTTATTTTTACATCTGTGAAACACCAGCCCTCGGGGCTGGGAAAACAATGGGAGCCGAGCCTAGGCAGGGAGGGGAGGCTGTGTGGGGGTCAGGGGGGTTGCGGTGGGGTCACAGCACAGTGGCAATTGAATGAACCCATTTAAAAATAAGAGCAAGTGATTTAAAAATAACAGGAGTAGCCAGCTCTGATTACAGAGCCGTCCTGAGATCCATAGTTTGGGCAGCTGTATCCTCTGCTCTCCGGCCCAGCGGCACAGCCAGCTCCTGCTGAGCAGCAACGCACTGATCCGGGCAAGTAAATAGAGCAGGTTAAAAAAAGCAGCATCGGTCCTGGCCTTATTATGAGACCCAAGAGCTGGGATAGGAGCAGTGGCGGCTGCCAACTTCCACAACCCAGAATTAAATTGTTTCTGATGGACTCCGAGAAGTACAGTCTCCACTCAATTAGGTCGGCTCCCACTGAACGAGGTCCTGCACAGCTGGGCAGGGAGACATGGCGAGCGCTGGAGGCTGCTGCGGGAGATGAGCAAGCACCCTTGTGCAGACAGATAGCATGAAATTACAGGGGGTTTATATATTAGGGTCCAGGGCAGGACCAGGTAGGTAAAGAGCAGAGCGCAGGTCAAAGTCCCTGCTATGGGAAAGTCACCAGGAAGGGGTTATCCCTTCCCTACGCCCGGCAGTGCAGGGCAACCCTTGCCTTGCTTCAAGTTAAGAAAAGATGCTGAAGGTCCTGTGTCTGGGCCACTTCTTCCTGATGGATGTGCTGGCCAAACCCTAGCTGTCGCTGGTTCCAGCACCATTTCTGACACTCATCTGGCAGCTCATGATGCTCGGTGAGGCTGTCATCTGCTTGGGTATTGGCAAAAACGTTCCTCTGGGCTGTGGTGAGGTTGCACACTGCAGGGAGCCCAGTTCGACAGGGGTAGGATACCCGTGCTCGCCACCATGACAGCTCTACCCAGTGACATCAGCCTGGCATAAAGCAGATGTTTTCTCATTAACAGATTAGACTCAAAAGTGGTCTCAAATCCCCAGGGTTTGCTGCAATCCCTGGAGAACCGCAAGGAGCCTGGGAATAAATCAGTCCCAGCCAACCAGGAGCGGCTTTGCTGTTACAGACAGATTGAATCCCCGAGTGACTGAGCCCCTGAAAAATGGTTATGTCACTGCTCCTTCATCTGTGGTGTGGCAATCCAGGCACTCCCCCAGACACACGCATTACCCATTGCTTCCCATCTCCCTCCTCCTCCACAGAGGCTGATGTCTCGACCACCAGCACACAGTCAAGATTGAAGATGCAGGCTTGGCATGACCATAGGTCAAATCTGTAGGCAGCTCGTTTCGGCTCATTTAACTGCAGCCTTGTCCCTGAAACACCAGCTTTGTCACTGGGAGCTGAGATGTGCACAGGGATACGGGTGACTCCTCAGTGCCCTGATCAGATGGTCTCGCCACACCATCTGTCGGAGCAATGGCCCAGCCCTCAACACCGGTGCGAGTCCCTGCATGGCTCTGCTCTGCAGCTGCCACCAGTCAGATCTGTCCTCTCCCCCAGGAGACACCGTGACATCCAGGGACACGGGTGGGATGGGGCCAATTCTTCCATCTGCTCTAATGCTGGTGGCAGACAGTAAAGAACCCTCCTCCCAGGGAAAACTCCTTCCACCCGGTAACTGTCAGCGCCTTCCGATGGGCAGTGACGGAGCTTTAAACTACCAGTCCTCTACATTTATCAGTAAGAAACACGGTGGGAATCTAAACTGCTCAGGATTTTGGGGAGATGTGAATCCACCCCGCAGCAAATGTAGTCAGGGACCAGAGACCGCACAGAGTCACACTGCCGTCTCTCTCCCCTGCAGCATCGTTGTCTTTCCTTAAGGACTGGAGGTCATATGGATTCACTGCTGCGACCGCATCCCGGGTCAGGCTGGAAAGCAGCCCTAAAGATGGGAGGGGAGCATCTGCTCGCCTGGCCAGTGGCTTTGAGCAAGCCTGAAACTCCATTTACAAACTAAACAACAGTTCAACAAATGGTCAGTGGCGTAAGCTCATCCCAGAATCAAGACAGGTTTCTGCTTCTTCCAGCTCGCGCACCGCTTCCAATAACGAGAGCACCTCCTCATGCATGGCAGAACCATCCTGCTGGGGAACACCAGCACACAGGAACGCTGTTTGCCATCCCGATACAGGCTTCCCTGATGGGCTCAGCTGTAAGCCGGGTTTTGCCTGCTATGGGAGTGTGCCAGAAAGCAGGTTTGCCAGGCACAAGTGGACTGCACAGCACACCTGAGTACACGGGCACCTTGGTCTTTTGACAGTGAAATTAGTCTAGTGCTTGCCAAAATCATGTCTTAACTCCTTTAAAAGTTCCCCTTTCTTCTTCCCCACACTCTCTATCTGGTATCTACTCTGCAGAAGACTTCATTCCCAAACCCTCGACATCTCCTTTATGGATCTAACGTGTATTCATAGGGCTAAATCTTAACAAGAGCCACTAGGAGGTATCTCACAGCACACCGCCAGTCTCTCTGACCACAGCCTCAGGAGACCAGAGAGGCAAAATCCCAGCAAATCAGTGGACCCCACAAAGCTCACCTGCTTAGTGCCACTCAGAACTGAGTTGCCTTCTCCTTGCTCATCCCTCTTGACTGGCAGCCAGGCTTGTTTCACGTGCTGCTGCTGGCAAAGCACAGACTTGTGCCACAGCCAGCAGGACCAGAGACGGACCCCAAGGAATTTGTGTCACCAGTGCACCTTCCACCAAAAAGGAAGATGTGACAGAAGGGACCAGGACAAGCCAAAGCAGGACAAAGGATCTGGGACAACACAGCCAGCTCTAGAGGACACTCCCTGCACTTTACAATGAACGTGGACACATAAACATGATTTACTAAACAGCTTCAGACCCCAAACCCCACTTGCAAGCAAGCATTAAATCACTGAAGTACAGCAGGACTTCAGGCAATTGCTAATGAGTAAATAGAGCAAATAAGCTAATTAGAAGAGTTACAGTCATGTGAGTGATGTTGGGGAGACAATTCATTCCTGCAGCAACAAGCAGGCCACAGCACAGAGATCACTTCAGGAACATACCCCTTCCCCTTGTGGGGTAGGACTTCCCTCAGAAGAGGCTGTGTTATACCCAGCTGCAAACGTAAAAGGCCAGATGCTTCACAAAAACATTTTTTTGATGGTGATAAGTACCTGAATAAGTGTCCTGAGCTGCAGACTCACCAAACAAAACAATCAGTGCGAGCAGCACAAGCCTCCATCGGAGACACCTTCATAAAAGGTCTCTTGGTCTGGAGGGAGACCAAAGGTTTTCCAGAGCTTCCATGCTTTTCTTAAGAGCATGTGTCTGGGTACCAGACTGTGCTTATGGCCAGTCCCACACCCCTACATCATCCTCACACTTCATTTCTTCTTTGGTTGGAATATCATGATGTGACGAAATGGCACAAGCATGAACCACAAGCTCTTCAGAGAGCAGGCTGGATCCTTGGGCGTCTGCTTACACCCTGTGTGTAACTTCAAGGGTGAAACATCCCAACCAGTAATAACAGAGACACATCCCAACCAGTAACAAGAGAGACACTATGGGAGCAAGGAAAGACTCAGCCTCCCCTTGCTATCAAGTAGAGCTTTGTTTCCCAGGAGATGGCCCCACCACCAGCTGCATGGGGCTGGAGGCACTGGGGGAAGCTGCTGGCAGCCCCAGAGCACCATGTTCAGTGTCCACTCACTCTTCCTCTACGTAACAACCAGCTACAGTAGCACACAAGGGGTGAAAGTTGAAGATGGGAGTCTCAGCAGACAGCTACGACCAGATGTGTCCAACAGCACAGAGTAGTTCTCACCTGCATGGGCCTGGAGAACATGTTGGTCAGCACTTCTTTCCTGGCTTCAGAGTATTTGTCAGCACCAAATGTTTCATTTAAGCTTTTCTGGAGGAGAAAAGAGAGAGAGCATTCAGTGTTGGCAAGCTCTGGTGGTAGGGGGACCCAGGCAAACCTTACTGGGACAAACAGCAGCTTGTCAAAGCCAAATTCCTCCCTTCCCCACAAAAACCTCTCATAAGCCAAAAAGTGCACGTGATTCTAGGCTTCACTCTGGTCCCAGCAGCCCTGACAGGGCTGCACACAGAGTCCTCCTGAGCACTGACCCACCTCCCGGGGTCAATGGCAGGGAGCAACAGCGGCACAGGGATCGCCGGCTCTGTCCCCCGATGTGCAGTGTGCGAGAGCCCCCATAACCCCTGCCCTGACTCCCATCCAGCTTCAGCATACAGACTAATGGGGCTCTGGGGAGATGTGGATATAGGAGGTCACTGCCTGGGGCTAGTGGTGAGGAAGGGCTGGAGGGTTCAAAGTGCAAGAGAGGAGCTGAGTGCGCAGCCCCGCATCTGCTGACATAGCCTCGGCACAGCCAGCGAGCAGGGAAAGCAGTCCCAGCTGAAGGAGGGGCATGTGGGAGGCCAGCGGGGATGGGATTAACAGAGGATTATCCACAGTCCAGTTGCAGTGAGTAAAGAAAATCCTGGAACCTGCGCTGTGCTGTTCAGCCGAGGTTCAGCCTCAGGACATGCTCAGTGGAGGATCGGTCAGATACCTTTTGCACTGGCTGCATCTGACCTTTCCCAGCACTGCTCTCCAGTCCTTCCCAGCCACCTCGCTCCCCACCCTGCCCTCCCTGAGACCTTCAGCAGTCCAGACAGCAACACTCACTAGCAGAGCTACCTTTCCTGTGCTACAGAGAAAACGTCCTGCCTAGGACCTGCCAAGAGAAGGCAGAGGAATGAAATCTGGGTGTCCCAGTGAATGCTCCTACACTGAAACATCCTTCCCATTGCAGAGAGGGCAGCACTGGGTCCACTTGCAAGATCCTCCCTGCCCTGCTCTAAGCTCAGTGCACAGCGTGGTGGAGCGGGACAGGCTGGGCCAGCTTTGCCCAGCACTGGTGAAGCCAAGAGTGAGGGAGGCTGATGTCTTGTTTTGATGTGGGACAGTTGTCAGCTCTGCTTAGACAGAGGGGGACAGGGAATAAACCACATGCTGCCACAAACAGAGAATCACAGAGTTGTTGAGGCTGGAAAAGACCTCTGAGATCATCAAGCCCAGCCTA